TTTGGGGATATTGGATTGTTAGTAAGTTTAGAAATTCAAGACATCACAGTAAGCCAGAATGGCACAATTTTTCAACAGGTCCAGGAGAGATGGAATAAAGTGCTCACTGCTTCTCCCCAACTCCAGAAATGGAGAGGAAAATTGAATGAAGATGTTTTTAGGGGAGTCCTCTTAATATAAAGAGTACATAGAACGCTTAACCTTACACCATATAGTGGACCATACTGTATAGGGGTGTCCCCAGTCTTAATCTGTTTCCCAGTTAAGTATATACATTTCTGTTCAAAATAATAGCAGTCAGACATCACTAACCTGATCAATCATTATTTTTGGTAGAAATGATATTTCTACATGGCAAATAATTTACTAGCAGGCGTAGTAGAGTAAAAGAAATCCAACAGACCCAACAGTCATGACATGCATGCTGCTGATTCTGTGTAATTGAATCACTAATTGAAAGGGGCATGTTCAAAATAATAGCAGTGTGGAGTTCTATTAGTGAGGTCATTCATTCTTTGAAAAACAGGTGGCAATTATTGCCCTTATTTAAGGAAGGAAGGCAGCAAATGTTGTACATGCTGGTTACTTCTCTCTGAAATTCTGAGGAAAATGGGTCGTTCCAGACATTGTTCAGAAGAACAGCGTACCTTGATTAAAAAGTTGATTGGAGAGGGGAAAACATATAAAGAAGTGCAAAAAATGATAGGCTGCTCAGCTAAAATGATCGCAAATGCTTTAAAATGACAACCAAAACCTGAAAGACGTGGAAGAAAGCGAAAAACTACCATTCGAATGGATAGAAGAATAGCCAAAATGGCAAGGACTGGCCTAAATTGACTGGCCTAAAGAGAAATGGCGCAACATTTTGTGGACTGATAAAAGTAAGATTGTTCTTTTTGGGTCTAGTGGCCGGAGACAGTTTGTCAGACGACCCCCAAACACTGAATTCAAGCCACAGTACACTGTGAAGACAGTGAAGCATGGTTGTGCAAGCATCATGATATGGGGATGTTTCTCATACTACGGTGTTGGGCCTATTTATCGCATACCAGGGATCATGGAGCAGTTTAAATACATCAGAATACTTGAAGAGGTCATGCTGCCTTATGCTGAAGAGGAAATACCCTTGAAATGTGTGTTCCAACAAGACAACGACCCCAAATACACCAGTAAACGTGCAACATCTTGGTTCCAGACCAACAATATTGACGTTACGGAGTGGCCAGCCCAATCCCCGGATCTTAATCCAATAGAAAACTTGTGGGGTGACATCAAAAATGCAGTTTCTGAGGCAAAACCAAGAAATAGAGAAGAACTGTGGAATGTAGTCCAATCATCCTGGGCTGGAATACCTGTTCACAATTGCCAAAAGTTGGTTGACTCCATGCAACACAGATGGACAGCAGTTCTCAGAAACAGTGGTTATACAACTAAATTTTAATTAAGTGATTCAAAGGAAAGCAAAATCTTCAAACATTTTTCAGTTTATATAGTGAATGTTTGAGTTTGTAAAGAAGAATACAAACACTGCTATTTTTTTGAACAGTCTAATATTCACTTTTCTTCAATTTTTTTTAGAGGAACAACACAAATTTGATATATTTTTCTTCATGTTTTCATTTGGAATAGAATGTGTAGTGTTCCCAATGCATTTGTGTGTATGGAAATAAAAGCTATTAGAAGGATTTTGAGCTTTATTCACTTTTTTCAACACACTGCTATTATTTTGAACACAACTGTATGTGTGCTTCAGAAATGGGTCCATTGGTATGGCCACTAGGAGTTTGTGGATACCAGAGATTAACCTCTTTCTGGATGGCCCATCTACACAGGTCAATTAGAAGGATGTGAGTAGTGAAAACTGTTATGTAGGTGAGACTATCTGTCTCCTGAAATTTCTTGTAAAGAACATCCGTTAGAGAAGGTCTCCATCTGGAACATTAATAGAAGAGCTCCATAGTAGGGAGTTGGGGTGGGTGGGGGCAGAAATAACTCTGTCCATTTGGTAAAAGCTGGGAAAATAGACCAGGAGATATGACTTCTTACCTAAGTTGCCAGAGAGTATTTGTAAACATCTGGGACTGCAAGGCCTCCCTGGGTTTCAGAGGCAAAAAGGACGGACTTGGGAAGTCTATGAGATTTATAATTCTAGATAAATTCTAGATAAAGTTCAAGTTTGTACTCTTTTCAATTTGTAGTATTTTCATTTTAACAGATGCTATAAGTCTCAGTAGTGACAGTGGCAGTGTTTTCCATGTATGTAGGAATTGGGTAATATTTTTAAGTATACCTGGAAAATTATGTTCGTATCAAGTGTGGTATGAGAGCATTAGCTGGACCCCAAGGTATTTAAAGGATGTGGATTTCCATGTGAATTTCAGGATTTCAGATGGAGGATTGTGGACTGGGGCTGAAGCCCTTTGACATGTGTAGCTGCACTGTCCAGCTCCTGTACATTATTTGTGGCTTTTGTCTATCCAATACTATACTCTAATGTTAAATTAAACATAACATTTGTCTCTCAACTATTTCATACAATGGTGCCTAACCAAGCTTCTTGCATACTGCCCAACCAATATTTGTGGCTATTGTCCCTCAGATAATATACTCTAATTTTTATTTTATTTCATATTTAAGATAATACTTGCCTTTCTGTTTGCTGCCCGTTTAAATGCATGCATGCTGTCCTGACGATGGTCTATTTCCACCAAACATACCTGAAGTCTATGTTTTGAAAATGTTTGGAATAATTGGGAATACAAGGATGTGAGGGGGTTCAGGGAAATTGGGGTTGTGGTTTTGAAGTGTCTTTTACATTTTATTACAGTTTTATGACAATGCAATGTTGTACTGTAAAATATTTTTTTTCACAAGCTGTACTAAAAATGCTGTGCCACTGGCCAATTGGTACAAAGTTGAGGGTGTTATTTTGCTTTAGGAGAACTTTCCTGTAATTTTTAAATGTGTTGTGGCTTCTACTTTCATTTTTCAGTTTTGGCCTTTCATCATTGGATACAAAATCAGGTGTTGCAGCCAAAGCCTTTTTTGTGTTGTAATGAATCAGATTAGGGTACTCAGGGCCGTCTTTAACATGGGGCAAAAGGGGCAGCTGCCCTGGGCTCTGTCATTGCTGTGGGGCTCAATGCAGCTGCCCTTTCAGCCCGCAAATTGTAGCCACCCCCCGCCCTATGATGACACTGCAGACCAACCAGATATACGGAAGCAGTGCTGTAATTTATTCCCCAGCCAGCAGGAGAGGGGACGAGGCAGGGAGCTCCACTGACACTCTAACCCAGCCCCATGCAGCCTGTATGGTCAGGAGGAGGCCGCGGCCCACGGCTACAGTAGGAGTTGGGTTCAGATTCAGAATGGGAGCGGTTAGCAGTAGCACTGAGGCCCCTGGCTGGACCATGGATCGGATGGTGAGCTGGTGTCAAGGTCTTACCTTTCCTCAGGGCTTCTGCTGCTCCATGTGCTGGCATCCATCTTAGGTGTCTGCAAAGCATTGTGGGATCCTTTATGCTTTCAGCCTCTGTGGCTCCTCCCCCAGGAGGTGGCAGCTTATCACATATAAGTCTGCTGTTTGTAGCTGTCCATTGCATTTGTGTCCTGTCTGTTGCACAGCAGCAAGCTCCTGTTTAGTTCTCATTGCTCTCCTGGATACCGACTCGGCTTTGGCAAGACTCCTTCCTGGCTTCTGACCCCGGTTCTGGCGACCATCCTTCCTGGCTTCTGACCCCGGCTCTGACAATCATCCTTCCTGGCTTCTGACCCCAGCTCTGGCGACCATTCTTCCTGGCTTCTGTCCTACCAAGTCATCCAATGTTGCTGTTGGACTTGCATAGACTCTGTCTTGTTTTTGTACAATAAACCTACCTTTAATTGCACCTCCTTGTGTGTCTGGCTCCTCGCTCCCTGACAGCTGGCTACAGGTAGGTCCTTCTCCCCAATGGTCAATAGGCTGACTGTTTTGACAGATTGTTTCCTAACCCTGATCTGTGGTGTTCACAGGGCCACCCCCCCCCCCCCCTGGCAGTGGCACATCTTTCCACTGGCTGCTATTGCTTGATGGCAGGCTTTAAATGTTGATGTGCACAGTGCAAATTGGAATAGATCTGAATGTGGGTGCATCCAAACAGCAGGCAAAATATTTATCTGGCTGCAAAGCAGTGCTCCTATCTATTGCCATATCTGAGATGTCCAATCTTTATTTTATCCTAAGGCTGAAAGTGGTTTTAAGGGGTAAAAGGTTTTTACCTTCATGAATTCTATGCATGAAAGTAAAAAACCTTCAGCCTAGGTTCACACTTGTGCGGTGCACAGTCACGCTCTCTGCTCACAGCAGAGAGGAGAACTCAGCGGTCATGTGATCGCTGAGTTCTTGCACTTAAAGCCAGCAGGGTACAGATGCAGCATCCACCTAGGTAAGTATGATGGGAAAAAAACAAAAAACAAATTTCTCTTTTAATTATTAGTATGTGTTTGTTTTTTTTGGGGGGGGGTGGGATGCTGGAGTGAAGAGCAAAATTGTATGTGGGTGGGGGAGGGGGGCAGAAAAATGTTTGCCCAGGGTCCAATCAATATTAAAGACGGCCCTGGGGGTACTGTTGTATTTAAAGGGATTGAGAAGAAAAATGAACAAAGCATATCCTCATATAAAGTTTACTTTACTCAATGCATAGCAACTAGCTGCTCTTGCATTCTCCTGCAATCTGCAGCTATCACTTCTGAAATTTCCTCGACACCAAGCAATTCATGGTAACAGCCAACCCCCCTACTTCTAGCATACAGGAGGGGTTGTAGTAGACTCAAATTAGCATGTTTCTCATTGAGACCCATGTGTCAGATTACATTCAGCCAGGGGAGGACTGACCATTTGGAAACTCGGGCACTGCCGAGGGCCCGGGGTTAGTAGGGGGCCCCATGAGATACCTATGGTACCTTTTTCATAGGTTTTTTTTGAGTTTGGGCAAGGACACAGGGGCCCCATGAGTTGTCAGTCCGCCCTGCATTCAGCTCTCTGCTCTGAACTGATCCCTACCCCATGCCTCCTGGAAGCTGGGAAATACCATATGTTCAGTTTTTTTTTAGGAAGGCTTGGATGAGAGAGGGCTGCAGATAAATGAGTACAGCTTACTTGGGAGGATTTGCTTCATCACTGTGCATCACCTGAGGCTAATCACTTCACTAGTCTTATGTAGGGTTTATTGTCACTTTAATCAATACATATGGATGTCTAGAGGTGGCTAAATCCTTTAGCATATAATCTCTGGTGCTTTCCCATGCCCACAGAGCAGCAGTTGCCACATACAGCTGCCCATACAAGTGAATGGCTGTATGTGGACCGTAATTTTGTAAACACAGATGATTTTTGAATTGGACGTTATTCCCTCACATGAGTATTGTGTATTTCCCCAAATACACCACTTTAGAATTTTGGGAAATATGCTGTATGCATATGTGAGGGTAAACACTGATGCAAAAGCCATCACATTCACACAAGTATGGCCGCATTCAGCCATTCACTTGTATGGGTAGCTGTATGTGTCACCTGTGGCTCCCCTGGCATGGGAAAGTGCTGGGGATTTTATGCTAAAGAATTTAACAGTCTCTAGACCAGTGGTTCTCAACCTTCCTAATGCCGCGACCCTTTAATACAGTTCCTCATGTTGTGGTGACCCCCAACCATAAAATTATTTACCCAGTAATTAAAATTCATGAAGTGTCGTTTTACCTCCAATACTGCTGCTTTCAACACAGTAGCTGCTTTCTACACAGTAGCTGCTTTCAACACAGTAGCTGCTTTCTACACAGTAGCTGCTTTCTACACAGTAGCTGCTTTCAACACAGTAGCTGCTTTCTACACAGTAGCTGCTTTCTACACAGTAGCTGCTTTCAACACAGTAGCTGCTTTCTACACAGTAGCTGCTCTTTACACATCGGAAATATGTGTTTTCCCGATGGTCTTAGGCGACCCTTGTGAAAGGGTCATTCGACCCCCAAAGGGGTCGCGACCCACAGGTTGAGAACCACTGCTCTAGACATCTGTGTACATGAGACCTAAAAAGTTCACAAAAAAATAATAGATGGTAAATGACACAAACATTAATACACACTGGATTTAGAACTTCCGTGATCCACTGTCAAGAAAAGAGATAATGTTACCAGTGGTTGTACTTTTTATTACTGTAAACCTGCCATAACTATACACTTATTAAAGTGAACTCAGTATATGAAATTAGGTGCTACCAGTCATCTGCTGATACTGCTACATTGATATTTCAAAAATGTGGGGCTAAGGCAATCATTTAGTATCCCAATATAGACATCAAGAAGAGGCACTTGCAGTATCTCATGGCTCCATCTTTCTTTAAATGAGTTATCTAGAGTACAGTAGGGGTTTTCTGAGACATGGAGGGTACAGGTGGAGATTATGGTGACAGCATTTCAAGATTATGGAAGTTTTTGTTATTATTTCTGTAAGGTATTTCCAGTATTTTCAATATCTCTTGCATGTAATTAAAGTGGAACTGCACTGCATCAGAGCACCACAAACCAAAAATGCTATTTATTTCATTGTTAATATTTAAAGCAAACTTACCCATCCATGTCTCCATGCTTTATTTTGCTATGAAATCATTTTGAAAAAAACACCCCCCGACATATCTGGTAGTGGCCATCTTGAGTAAGGGTAGATGATTCATGTAGCATTTACTTCATGGAATCCATCTGCCCTTAGCTCAGGCATTGACTGAGCTGAGAACCCTCCCTCCACTCCTGAAGACTCCTGGGATGTATGACATCATATGCCTAGGCAGGAAACCAGGAAGTAACAGAAGAAATGTTAAAATGTTTTTTTTTATAACAAGTAAATATGATATCCTTTCCTATCTATTTACTAATGCTAGCAGCATAAGGATTAAAATAGTCAATGTTGATTGAGAGAGTGAAGTTCCAGTTTAAGTAAGATAGATCAGTTTTTTTTACCCTTGCATAAAATAATTGCTGCTAATAAAAATTAAATAAAAATACGTGATATTAGCAAAGTGCAATTCATTATTTATGTTATAGAGTGACTGATTATGTTCAGTGGGTACATTTGCTCTTCTTCTGCTGAAGGTAAAACTGAACATCTGCATGAATCATTAGGCTTTAAACATTGAACTCTGCTGTTATTAAGCAGATTATTATTGCATGTATTTATGTTTCTTGTAAAATGAGCAGATTGATCCTTCATTATTCTAGACCTATTCACACATCTGAGCATTTGTAAACATTGTTGGGCCAATCTGCCTTTTAATTTACCAGTCACTGTTTCCAAAGTAGCAATTTGCATATCTACTGTATCCCTGGATCTTATTCCAGCCTTGAAGAGTAGACAATCATGCTACAATAGCCTCATTTTCAGTTGCTATGCAACCTGTACCACCTTGAATGTTTAAATAGTGTTGCTTAAGACCAAGAAGTGGTGTGAGTAGACTATAGGGGGTATGTTACCCAGGTAATGAATCATTATTCAACTCAAATAGTACTTCTAATTACTTAATTTTCAATAAACTGTTTCTATACCAATAGATAGATAGATAGATAGATAGATAGATAGATAGATAGATAGATAGATAGAAAGATCCATAGATCGATCAATAGATAGATCGATAGATAGATAGATAGATCCATAGTTAGGCAGATAGATAGATAGCCCTAATAGAACATTATATGCCTCAATATATTAATAAGTATGAATAAAAAGTGAAAAACAACTTCACTACTTAGCACACTAATGTAACTTGGTAAAGACAAATAAACGTCCGAAAAAAACTAAGCAGAAAAGTCAAGCCATGCAAATACTGCATGTAAATTAACTCAATGGGCCTAACCTACTTGATAATTGGCTCATCCTGACACACTTGTTGTGAGTGAAATTAATACCTGATAGCTAAGTTCTTAGTGCTTATAAATCATAGTGAGCAGGTGTGTTAAAGTGAGTTAATTAATTTAACCTGGCTGTCAACATCATTATCTGTACTACATCCTTCTATATAGACATTTACCAAAGACAAATAGTATCTTGTGTGACTTTTAAGCCTCATGCACACAGGGCATTTTTGCAGCCAATTTTAGGGGCATCAGATGATCTTTTTACAGCTTCCAAATGGCCCTCCATGTTATCCTATGTGTCCATGCACACATAGACATTTAGAAGCTTTTAGCAGCAGTAGCATATACCAGCAGGGAAAAAAAAAACCCAGGCCAGTACGTCCAGGAGCAGTAGCATTCTGGCAGAAAAAACACTGACAGCTCCCAAACTCTACTAAACTCTCCTAAATGCTGCTAAACACCAGTACCCAATGTTTAGCAGATATTTTTTTCATCACTGGTTGCTAAGGAGAGGGAAAGGAGGTCAGCCACTGCATCCTTAACAACGGATGAGTCATCAGCTGTCAGTGGGGTTCCCTGCTGTCAGCTGAATGTAAAAAGAAAAACATTTCCACCAATAAAGAAAATGTGGAAAAAACGGCATGGGGTTCCCCCCCCCCCATTCCATACCAGGCCCTTTGGGTGTGTAATGAATTGTAAGGGGAACCCCAAGCCAAAATGTTTTCTAAAAAAATGGAGTGGTGTCCCCCCCAGAAGCCAAAGCAGACCCTGATTTGAGCATGTAGCCTGGCAGGTCAGAAAGACAGCGATCACCCCCCCCATGCCATGAACCTCAACTGGGGGGGGTGCGGGGCATCCTCCACAAACCCCCTCGCTCGCAGACACAAACCACTGGCCAGCATTGTGGGGTAGAGGCCCTTGTCCTCATCATCAAGGTGCTTTGGGGGGACCCCCCTGCCCCAAAACACCCCCACGTTCAGGGCACGTGGCTGGTATTCAGGAAGGGGGGTGCTTGCTCGTCCCCCCCTTCCCTGACCCGTTAGGCTGCATGCTCGGATAAGGGTCTGGTATGGATTTTGAACCCCACACCATTTAAAAAATTTTTTTGCCATGGGGCTCCCCTTAAAATCCATACCAGACCCAGAGAGCCTGGTATAGATTGGGGGGGGGAACCCCACACTGTTTTATTTTTTGGCTTTTTTTTATTGCCAGCAATGTTTTGTTTTTTTTACATTCAGCTGTCAGCAGGAAACCCTGCTGACCACTGATGACTCATCCATTGTTAAGGACACAGCAGCGGGCTTTCCGTTCCCCTCCTTAACAACGGCCCAGCTTCTTAACACTAAAGCTACTAAATAATAACTAATAATAAAAACGCGTTAGCAATAGATCATATTTTTGTATCAATATTTTTTTTTAATTTATTTATGGTGTTATGGCTGCATTAAAGATCCATGGAAGACAATTTCTTTGTGATTTAGTCTAGGGACGTAGCAACCCTTGAATCATGATGACTCACACACTCCTATTGTTGTTCTTTTTGTGATATTTGATCACTACCGAGTTTTTTCATTTTTTATTATATAAATGAAAAAAGACAGAAAATATTGAAAAAAGCACCAAAATTTTTTACTTTCTGCTATAAAGCGTCCAATAAAAAAAAAAAAAAAAAAATTCTTCATAAATTTGAGCCAAAATGTATTCTGCTGTTAGAAAAAAAAAACATCCCAGTAAGTGTATATTGATTCATTTGCGTGGTTATAGCAGCTACAAACTATGATATATATATGGAATATTTATTTAATTTTATACTACTAATGGCTGTGATCAGCGACTTATAATGGGACTGTGATGCAGCAGGCAATCTGACACTAACTGACACTGGGTGGGAACTGACTAAATGACACTGACATCACCCGTGACACTAATATAGTGATCAGTGATAATACTATACACTGTCACTGTACTAATGATACTGGCTGGGAAGGGGTTAACATCTTGGGGGATAATCGAAGAAAGGGTTAAGTGTGTGCCTAACAAGTGTTAATGTGTGTATTGTGTGCTGCTTTTTACTAGAAATCTCTTTGTTCCTTCTCCCTGCAAAGCAAACAAAGTGATAATTCCCTCTGTACAGAGCCCTGTGTTGATTATCAACACCTGGCTCTGGGCTGTGATTGGACACAGTTGATCAGTAGGT